GGGTTATGTGTACATGCCGTGAGCCCTGGTGTGTTTGGGTTATGTGTACATGCTGTGAGCCCTGGTGTGTGTTGGGTTATGTGTACATGCCGTGAGCCCTGGTGTGTGTGGTGCCTGGCCCCCACTCCCTGCTGCTCTGAAAGTGATCCTCTTAGAAGGTCCTTGGTGGAGTGGGAGGGAAAGATGTGGAATGGAACCCCACGTCCTGAAAGAGACGCAGCTCACTGGATGGCTGGAGACTGGTGAAACCCTGAGCCCATGGCCCTTCACCCACTTTCTGGTCTGAAACGAACCCTCACCCTCAACGTTCAGCCAACAGCAGACAGGTCTGGAGGGGAGACAGTAACACGGGGCACACCATAGAATCAGCAGCCAGTGGAGACCCAAAGGGTGCGTTTCCCCAAGAACACAGTCCAGGGGCATCAGGAGACAACGAGGACCAGACGTCTCGGGAAACATGGAGGAAGCAGGGTCCGTCGTTGGTGTCCCGTCCAGGGCGTGGCAGCCCTCAGGATGAGCCTTCCCGTGTCCGAACTGTTGGGTGGAAAGTGGACCGACTGTCGGCTCTCTCAACCTTGCCCAGACCCACAGTGAAACGCTGGGAAACAGGTCCTCTGCCGGCACCTGGTGGCCTGATGGGTTCTGAGCCGAGCTGCTCACAACAGGGGCAGCAGTGCCTCTGAGCCTGTGCCCTGTCTGACCCTGGCGCTCAGCCTGCTCACTGCCCTGAGCATGTCTTCCTCCAGCAGAGCAACTCTCCTCCATGCCACAGGAGGAAGACAAGGCTTCGGTGTGAATTCTTAGTCATGCGAAGCCAAGGACCCAGCTAGTCCCACCAAGGAACCGAACAGCGGGATCTCTTCTCTTGCTCTTTCCCTGCGCGTACAATTTCCCTGGGGCTTGTGCGTGTCATCGCTCTCAGTGTTCATGTCACGTCATCCGAAGATCCAGGCTCCTATGGTCCCAAACGGACCAGGCACTGAGAGGACCGGGTGCTCGCTCGCCTGCAGAACAGGCTTCTGCCAAAGATGCAGGCCAGACTGGCTCCCCTCGCCCCTCCCCCTTCTCCTCCTCCTCCTCTTCCTCCAATTCATGGTGGAAGCTTGAGCCAGCCAGCATCCCTGGGGAGCCGCAGGCGCCCCGCCTGCCTTCCTCTGCAGGAGGATCGCTCTGCTCAGGCTGGCTCACCCTGAACTGGCCAGATGGCGGACCTCCTGAGGGTCCTGCCAGTGCCCTTGATAGAGGGGGCGAAGGAGCCAGCCCACTGCTAACCAAGACACTAGAAATAAAACATAATTTGAGATAACGTGTGTTAAAAATCTGAGATGCAACAGCCCACTCCCTTGTAATAAAAATTCCGTTGACACAATCAGTAGCGATGTTCTAACTCCGGAAGGAAGCAGGCCAGTCCCTGTAGATCAGCAAAGGAGACCGGGACATCAGGTGGGGGGACGGCCCTGGGGGAAATTGGACCTCTGAAAATTCCTGGGCGGAGGGGAGCAGGTTATTTCCTGTGAAGCCTGCTCACATTGGGGTCCCAATCATGGTAAAGCCTGGTAATTATTATTTCCTGAGCACCACCTGGGTTTGGGGGTTGTGTTTTGTCTGTTTAAGGTATGTAACTTGCTGGATTTTCAGTGAATCTTTGAAGCAGTTTGCAGGTACCACACCCCACTGTTTGCTCCTGTCTACAGCTTGCACAAATACACTTAGCCCCTCCAATCAACCTGGTTTCTGTCTGGCTGAGACAGTGACAGCCCATGCCCCATGCTGCTGTAGTCTGTGAGCATCCCCTCCCCTGCAGGCATGGGGGCAGGGCCTCACGTGTGTGCCCTATGGGGCCCTTTGAGAAGCTCCCTGGGTTTATTTAGCAGGAGCTTCAGTCCCCTCTCTGATGTAAGCACTGGCGGGTGTGTGGGTGACAGCTGGGCTGTGATCCCTTGCAGCTGGCAACAGGCAGATGGTGGGAGGCCTTGATGACACAGCCAAGTCCCTGTGGCAACCGGAAGGTTGGACAGCGGTCCACATCCACCCAGTGCCTCAGCAGACTGGCTCTACTTGGAACTGGCGCAAAGGAAGCTGGTTTGGTCTCAGGGAGATCTCACTCACGTCAGAGGGCGTCCCTGGGACAAGTCCCCCCAGCACTCGCTGGATTCAGATCGAGACCCCGCCCTGTGCCGGAGACATTGAGTTCCCAGCCTGGCCAGCTGTGCTGACCACTAAACATGCCCAACACAGGGTCACAAAGCAAGCTCTTTACTGGTCCTAAAACGTCAGACTATATTACAAGCTAATATTATAAGTCCAAGAAACCAGACATAAATTTACAGGAATCTGTCTTGCCGCCCATCTGCCTTGACCTCTGAGGGGCTGACCTTCAGGCCCGCGACGGCATCCCAGGGAGCAGAGGTCCAGCCTCACTGCAGAGGGAGCACTGCGGGGGGCTCCAGGAGAGACACCTGCAGGTACCTGGAAGGAGAGTGCAGCATGTGCAGGGGGACCCCAAGCCCACAGAAGGCTGCCTCCTTGCTTTACAGAAGCTGGGAGCCACCGACTCTCAGTGCTGCTGCTGGAAGGGGCACCAGGGCCACTGAGACCCAGCCTCCCTCTGATTCACGGGGACCCCAGGTGACCCCATAGGTTCCCTAGGCTGCCATCACTATGGGGGTCGATCACCAACTTTGCTCTGGTGCAACCCCTGGGTGGGTAGAACCCCAACCCTTCAGTCAGCATGTGCAAGCACCTATAAGAGCTAGACCCTGAGGTCCCACTGGGCCACCAGGAGTCCTGCTGTGTGCGGGAGTTCTTGTTGCCTCTAATGTGCGATTGTGGCTCTTCCTGAGCCCTGGCACGGAGCAGAACTGCCCGAGGGCTTCTGGGCTGGCATTGCCGCGGGGCAGACAGCAGGCCTTCCTCCTGCAGAGCTGCTCAGCGGTGGTCTCAAAGGGCCAGAGGGCTTAACTGTTGCACCACCCAAATCCATGACTGAAAACCCTACAGACTGACAATGACATTTCAAGGCCTCTCCAAATGGATTTCCTGGATGTTCGGGGCAACTTGACTTTTCCAGGTGCCCTGGTGGTGCAGTGGGCTGTGCGTGGAGCTGCTAATCACCAGGCCAGCGGTTCAAAGCCACCGGCTGCTCTGAGGGAGGAAGAAGAGCCTTCTGCTCTCATAAAGTGTTCCGTCTAAGGAACGCACCATGGGGACAGCTCCACTCTGTCCTTGAGTCAGATCGATTCAAAGGCAGTGAGTGACATCTCCAGGGGCTCTAACGATAAGGTTGGTGGTTCAAACCCACCAGTGGCTTCTGTGGGAGAAAGACACCCCGCAGCCCACAGGGCAGCTATACTCTGTCCTGCAGGGTGGCCACCGCCATGAGTCGGACACCAAGGTCCTGAGTGTGGAGCGCATTTGTTTGTTTGTTTTTACTCTTCCAGGTGGGCATCGTGTTTGCAATGCTCACTGGCTAGAAGCGACTCAGTCTAGGCAGGGAGCCGGGGAGAAGGCTCTGGACACTCACTTTGGGGCCTTGTACTTCTCACGAATGGCCTGCTGAGGCCGCTGGGGCATGTCCAGGCAGGTTCTGTGCAGCTCATTCAGGCACGGCACGATCTCATGCAGGGAGTAGCCTGTAAACGCGGCCAGGGTTTCTGGCTAATCGGACGGATGGACAGACAGAGACGGACAGAGGGCAGGAGAAGGAGGGTGTTGTGTCACTTCCACATTCAGAGATAAAACCGAGAGAAGAGGGACTGAGCCTGAGTCAAAAGCAAAGAGAGCAAGCCCCCTCCCCAGTCTCTCAGGGACCACACTGGCCAGATGTGCGCCTCCTGAGTGGGGTCTGACACAGGGCAACGCCCTCTGAGCACTTGGCTTTACTGTGTGTCCAGACGCTGCGATTTTCCAGGTGGTGCTCTGGGTTGTTTGCTGGTGTGAGGCGTGTGTCCCATCTGATGGGCTCCCCTACTGTGGCCCCAATGGGAACAGGCTGTGGTGGGCAGTGGTGGTGGTGGTTCAGGGGGGACTTGGGGGCTGGTTAGTGGTATTGGTACTCAGTAGTTGGTGATCAGTGGTTAGTAGTGGTGGTGGTGGTGGTTCACTTATGGTCTGTGGTTATGGGTAGTTGGTGGATGGTGGCCAGTGGTTGTGGGTAGTTGGTGGTCAGTGGTTATGGGTAGTTGATGGGTGGTGGTCAGTGGCTATGGGTAGTTGGTGCGTGGTGGTCAGTGGCTATGGGTAGTCGGTGGGTGGTGATCAGTGGCTATGGATAGTTGGTGGGTGGTGGTCAGTGGTTATGGGTAGTTGGTGGGTGGTGGTCAGTGACTATGTGTAGCTGGTGGGTGGTTGTCAGTGGCTATGGGTAGTCGGTGGGTGGTGGTCAGTGGCTATGGGTAATTGGTGGGTGGTGGCCTGTGGTTATGGGTAGTTGGTAGGTGGTGGCCGGTGGTCATGGGTAGTTGGTGGTCAGTGGTTATGGGTAGTTGGTGGGTGGTGGTCAGTGGTTGTGGGTAGTTGGTGAGTGGTGGTCAGTGGTTGTGGGTAGTCGGGTGGTGGTCAGTGGCTATGAATAGTCGGTGGATGGTGGTCAGTGGTTGTGGGTAGTCGGTGGGTGTGGTCAGTGGTTGTGGGTAGTCGGTGGGTGTGGTCAGTGGTTGTGGGTAGTCGGTGGGTGGTGGTCAGTGGTTGTGGGTAGTCGGTGGGTGGTGGTCAGTG